ACACACACACACACACACACACACACACACAGACGCATACTGTACGCGTAATCGAATTTCCATTTTTCTCTCCTTGAAGGCCACACTAGGTACACACTGCCCCGAGCACAACACTTTTATTTGATCATCCATTCATCAGTGCATTCAGGAATCTGTTCAGCCAATCATCCTCTCTTCATATATTATACATTTGTCTGTGTATACCAATATTCAATATTTCATCCTGCAGTTGATTCATCGATTACTCTGTCAATTGATTCATCATTACGTCCCTTCATACACGAATTTAGCTGTACGTAAATCAACTCTTGTATTAAATCACCCTTTTATTTATCCATCAAATTTTTCTTCAACCAAATGTTTTGCTAATCCACCCGTTCTTCAATAATTCATTGATCTATTAATGCACCTCATCATTCACCCATTCATTCATCTATTCATCCGCAATGTCATACACCCTTTCAATCCTAAATTCTATCAATCAACCAGTCTATCTGTCTATCGGCCACGGTTCAGTTTCTTCACTTCATTTATGTAACTGTATTTCCATTCATAAATCTGCTGATTTATAAGTCTATTGATCCGTCACTTGTGTCCTTGAGGTTAAGAATAGTCTATCTTCACTCTTGGTCCAATTGACTTGTTTCTTCCATGGAATAAAGTTGTCACACAATGAGGCAAAGAAAGCTCGAGCTCCTCAAAGGTTGTTTTGAAGGATTGTGTAGAATTTATAAGCAAAACGTGTGTCCATAATAATATACTATTTTGTTTTCGAAATCTAACAAATTCAATTACCTCAAAACTGTCCAAGCGGTTACAGCACTCTTATTTTCAAGGGCACAAGACATCCCTCTCTTGTTTGCGGAAAACTCTCCACCCTCTTGCCAATCCACCAAACAACGCACCACTGCCACCTCCGCCACCATGATCACCACCAAAACCACCCAAACTCATCACAATCATCCTTCAATACCACCTTTATGATGCCATTACTGACGGACTCCACCACCTCTCCCCAACTCACCATTCCATTTTGTCCTTTCTTGTTTTTCTTGTTCAGGTCCCTTGCATAAGACGACTATCATCGCCACAACACCAACTACCACCATCACAACAATCACTACCACCACTA